TAATTTAAAGCTTAATAAGCTGATTTTTATTTCAAAAACGATGCGCCTTAGATGATACATTTGTGTATCTTGATTTGCTTTGTAGAGATGCATGAACTATCAAAGACTGACAAGTTTAAGTACGGCCTTGCCGATGACAATACTCTACACGAATCCAGTGTGAGAAGCTGACCTCTGCTAATGAACTGGAAAAAAGAGGAATAGTAGCGATTTCCTGTCTATCGAAGATTTGGAAGTGACTACCATTTAGGGACGCAACAACTAGTTTTTCTAAAATACAGCACTGTAACTTAACTAACAAAATGATTAAGACCAAGCCTCGAGTGCTACCCACATGTTTGGGGTGCTGCCTACACTGTCCACAGTCGATGCTGTTCAAAGGGGGCTACCCGATTGATCGATGATGTTTTTCTAATAGCCAGCCTCGGGTTTGCGATCTGACTCTCTTATCCGTCTATGTCACCGGGCTTTGCTCCTCAGAGTTGTCCCCCATGACACTGTCGTGCGTTGTGCCTACCAGATGAACCCGCCAGGTTTCTGCCGTCCGTCTGTCCAACTTCGTACATCTAGATCTGGCTGTTATGACCGATCATTTCTTCTTAGGATTGTATAAACAAAAACGCGTCAACAGTTCATAAAGTATTAAGTTCAGCCCTCAGAGAAAAAAGTCCTTACGAACATGCGCAGCAGAGAAATAAAAAACTAAATGTGTTAAACAGACCCGTACAATTAGTCCGTAGTCGTTCCTTCCTTGCGCTACCGTTAGTACCGCCGATCTGGTAACGTTGTCTCGTCCCATATCTAATCGCACGACGTGCTACCGCGGTGCCGTTGCAGTACGGATAGAACAGAAAACTGAATCGGCACGCTCGCACAGAGAGCAGAAGCAGAACGGGCATCGAAAACATTTTTAAAGACAAAAAAATCAATGATGTGTAAAATATGGCTATAGATGCGTAGAAACAGGGGTTGGGAGCGTACAAATATACTTAAATCAAAACAACTTATTTTCTGAATGATCAAGAGCATCTGAAAAATGAAATTTTTCGCGATTACATTACCTCCTCGCCTGTGACATAGGGAGTAAAAAGCCTATTATGGACCAACACTTATTCGGATTTACGTCTATGTGAAGTTTTTTTAGACATTAAAATGCCAAATGCTGACAATATTCAGTAACTAACTGCGCAGTGAAACATTTCGAACTGCTTCCCTGCCTATAACATAACGATGACAGCCCAACGGATAATTGGCTGGTTTTGTTTTAGTCCCCCAATGACAACATGTTATTATAAGCAGATATTTATACACCTATACATTTTTATGCCGAATGATTCGCAATCAGGTATCCTCATCATAAATATAGCTAAGGTCAGGATGACGGTTAGGATGGATCATTCTTTGGTAATTTTTGCACGCAAATCCTTTGTCTGGGTATATGCGTACTTGAGTTTTTATGAAGCTTTGTTAGGAACATTTGTAGTAAAAATCTTACAAACATTTTATGCGGAAGAGGAATGATTGGAATACTGACACGTCTGAGATGTTTTGAAATATTGAATAAGCCGATGATCTAAGATCTAACGTTATTTTATTGATGAATTATTTATACCTACATGGGTATATGTATAAATCACAGGATGCGTATATTCATTGCCAATTTGAAAAAAATATGCAAAATGATCAGTATATGTTACACTGACAGGAAACAAGATACATTTTTAAGATATAATATGCATTAACAAGATAAGTATTGTTATTGTTTTTGAATCCGGGAGTTTCCTATCCTAGGATAATATTTGTAGAAACAACACTAAAATTAGCCCTTCTGAGAAAAACATTGAATGGATCAAGTCAGCGAAACAGAGTCCTGCAATTGAAATTTGTATTTTTAGCAAGATTTGAGAATTTTCAGGATTTGGCGCCCTTGTAAAAATTGCTATTTTCTGCTCTTCAAAACCTTTTGGACGCAGGTACAGTTATCCCCTAACGATTAATTTCTGAAAATGTTTATGTTTTAAGGCAAAATGTACAGGGAAATCTATGATATGTGAATTAATCTCCCCCACAACCTACAATCTCCTAACCCACAATTTTTTCAATTTTTTTTTCTGAATATAATACCTTCTGAATCGTGAAAAAACTGAGTTTAACCGATTTTTATTTTTCTCGTTCCCTGCCCATAGCTTTGCCGCCATTGACTAGACCAGTTGTCATAAACCATGATGCATTTTCATCCTTGTCATAGTAGTAACCTTATATGAAAATTTCATCAAAAACTCAGCGGTACTTTCCAAGGATCAGCAGATAGACCGACACGCAGACAGACAGGCAAACTGATGTAAATGAGTGGCATGGTTTTTCGTGATGCACATGTCATATAATATCCAAAGACACAATACCACATTTTCGAAATTTTCTGCGATTACAATACTTCCTCGCCGTTGGCGAGAGAAGCAAAATTGTGTACCGAATAGTGCTTCTGTAATTAGTGCTTATTCATTCGGATCGAAGACCGCTTTTATAGCGTACAAACATTTTTATGTGTGCTTTGGAAACGCGTGCATAAGAATCTGCTTGCCCCAGTATTTTTATTACGCTTTGAAAAATATAGGCTTTTGGGAGACACACGGAAAACTACGCACTGTCAGACAACAGTAAGGAACTTATGGTACTGTTACGCATGTGTACTTATAAGTTAACTTGAACTACTATGGGTTCAAAAACATATAATACAAGAAGCAAAAACATTGACAGTCTTTGAACGACACACCAAAACAAACAAAAAATGCAGTAAAGTAGATTGACAGCAAAAATGTAATTAATCTTTTTCTAAGAATAATTGGTGCCCCGTAAAAAATGGAAGTAAAAATAGATATCCTCAAAATTGGGAAAATCTTCGTTTTGAGGTTGATAGACTCTAAATTGCTATACTCAAAATGATCAATATCAGATTTGCTAAGGGTCTTTTTTAGTTTAGAATCATTGGAAGAATTTGAAAAAAAATATATAGAGCGGAAAACTTATGGATTGATTAATTTTCTTCAAACTTTCTGCTTCATGAAAATTATGCAAAAAGTGTGTGAGGTACTGTCTACCTAGGTAAAATTATAATCGCGAAAAATGTTCAAATTGAGATATTGTTTTTTTAGTTTGATATGAAATGTACATCACAAAGAACCATGTCACTTATTTACTTTGTCTGTTTGACGATCTGTCTGTCTATATGTCCGGAAGTTCTTGGCATTTTTCTATGCCAAGAATTGCACGCTTTTTGGAAAACGGCCCAGTAACGGCGAAGGAAAAAAGGCAAACAATAAATAAATATCGCTCATACTTAGTTTTTTGTCGTTTCAGATAATCGTGATCATTTTGGAAAAAATTATGGGGCGGGGGATTGTAGGAGGGTGAGGGAGGGCAGATCTTCAATTTTTGAAGTTACATATGTATATGCTCAGTATTCCAGTAATTCCAAGCACCTATTAGCCATACTTGCCATACTTGAAACACAATAAGTTTCCCCGTAAATTTGTGGCTTTTTTCACAGGATGTGACTTGTAGTGAGCCTAGTAATCCTTTATGAGCTTATGATGGCGTTGCATACGAAGTGGATAACTGGAAAAGATTATCTACTTCCATGTCACCTCCTATGACTTTAGGCGATGAAGTACTGTAATTGCGAGAATATTCAAAAATCAGATATTCGAGATTTCTTGTCACATGACTCCTATATCTGTATCACTCATTTCCGTCTGACTGTCAGTTCAGATACGGGCAGTAACTCCTGCTCATCTTCGATTTTTGAAAATTGGACGTTAGGTATTGCGGGGATGGGAGGTTAGTATCAGTGGAAATATGCCCTCTTATTAAAAGGTTTTTCATCTTTCTTATGTACTACGCACATGTTAGACATAATAGTCACTGAGATTTTGTTTTAGATTTATTTTCTATAGTTTGAGATGTAGATATGTGAACATATCAAAAGTTTCGACACCACTTGAGTTGCTTAAATAGTTTTGACCAATTCCCTTCTTGAAATTTTGGAATGTTGATAAGGTGTTTTTGAGCCGTGCAAAAAATAAGACCTTCTCCTTAAGGCTTATAATCAGGTAAATCACTGCTAAACTTAATATATAGTGCTTTTCAAAAAGGTCCTCCCCCTACTTATTTTTTAAACGCAATCTGAAACTCGGGGCGATAAAGTGGTTTCATAAACATCATATTTAGCGTAAAAATGACAGTTGAAAATCTTGGAAACATTTTTTTAATGGAGATCACGTAACATCTTATTTTAAAGTCTCTAACGAGTACATTATAACAATGAAATATAAGAGCGGTATATTTCAAAATGGCGCACTGGCAGACTCTCAAACTTTAGCATTTGTGTACATCGAATCGCTTATAACTCATCAACCAATCATCAAAACGCGTGTGTTATATCAAATTTCACTCTTCGGGCGCATCCGAATATGTAGAATACGGAACATCCCGTTTAAGCAAAAATGTAAAAATCTGTCAATTTCTTTAATAGGAATTTCCCATATTTTATGGCACACTCAGATAGACTGTTCCAAACGAAGAAGATTGGAATAACCATACCACTTTGATGGGAGCGATTCAATGTACAAAATCACTTAACTGGCGTATACAAGCAGTCTGGCCATTTGGAAGACTGTAGGTTATAAAGTATTAACTAATGGCCCATGAAATTTTCAGCTAACACTTTAAAGGATGGCGAGTATCAATCAAGAGAGTACAAAACTGACGTAAAGAAATGGATACTGACAAAAAAAAATCAATCAAAATGGGACAACAAAATACATTATTACGAGGGATGTCTTTTAAGTTTTGCATATAGAAACATAGTAGGCCGCGCGGATCGAACGTGAGTACTGAATCTTAACCTCACTCTTTAGTAAACTTAAATTCAAAGTTTCACAACAATACGTGCAGTGTTCTTACTACAGTGAATTTTTAAGTGTGACCAAGTCATTAGAAAAATGGAACTCAACCGAGAACATTTTCGCGCCATAATTAATTACAACTTTCAGAGACAATTATCGCAACAAGAATGCCTTGCTGAGTCATTTTTTGTTTTCGGCAACGAAGAGCCACATCAGTTGACAATTTCCCGTTAGTATGGAGAATTCAAACGTGGACGGGTGAGTCTTAGCGACGATCCCAGGGTGGGTGCACCAGAAACGGCAGTCACCCAGCAAAACGTCGATGCTGTGCGCAAACTCATCATTGAAGATACTGTAACGGTTTCACCGTCCGATCGTATTTATTAAATCACTTCTCGATTATCATTTCATTAATCCCATCTCTAGCTTTTTTACTTGGGAAATTTTCCGCTTGGACCGCTTGATGCGGAGTTCCTGATCTGCGATCTTCCTCGCGCTTCCTTTTCACTTGAGCCGCCGATCGAACAATAGCTAAGAATTTTCTTCTCTGTAGCACAAGGTCATATAGCACCATGTGCTAGAATTTTGTAGAATGTGTGTCCGTATAGGACAAAATGATTGGGGCCACCCCCTTTCCCTTTCTCTTTCTCTTTCTCTTTCCCTTTCTCTTTCCCTTTCCTTTTGCCTTAGTCTTTGACTTTGCGTTGCTTGGCCTATCACTTCACCCATGCATGTGCCTTGGCAGCGCCATTGCCTTTAAGTTCAACTTCGCCTACAACTGGTTATAAAGCCACTATATGTGAGGTCACCCCTCATAACTGGGACCTCCACTTCAAGCACCTGGCCATCCTCGCTTCAGTCGAGTCAAAATGGACCAGCGAAAGACAAGTTGATAGTTTTATAGCAGCGCCAAAGATGTAAAACTTATTTTGTTCTTTAAAACTGTAAAATTGTAATGTAATGAAAATGCTTTTTTTTGTTAAATAAAATCTGTTAAATTTTTGTGTTCTGTTTGTTCTTCTATCCTCTAGCCATGCCATGGTCGACACACAGCTACACGCCTGTAGATGTCTTCATGCCACCGACTGAGCTACCGGAAGCTAATGGTAACCCCCTTTCTGTGATTGTGCAGAAAAGTTGGAGTCTTCATTGCATTCCATCTTTTCTGGACTTTTTGCGGAAAGGAAGAGTTACAATACACATGTGACATATCGCGAGATTGAGGCGGCCTTGAAGATCTCAAAGACCTCAATTCAAAAAATATTACATGAAGAATTAGGAGTAAGAAAATTAGTTTCTCGTTGGATACCCCACCTGTTGACTGAAGAGCAGAAAGCAGCCAGGGATAATTGGTGTCAAAAAACGCTTGACCGGTTCAATTCCGGAAACTCAAAAAATGTGTACCGCATTGTTAGTGGTGATGAATCGTGGATTTACTGTTATGAACCAGAAAATACACGACAGTCGGCTGTTTGGGTGTTCCAAGGTGAAGAAAAGCCAACAAAAGTCATCCGTTCTGGAAGTGTTTCGAAAAAGATGGTCGCGACATTTGTGTCATATTGCAACAATTTCTCTGAATAAGCAAAGAACTGTTGCTGCGGATTGGTATACCACCATTTGTTTGCCAAAAGTCATCACCGAGCTTCGGAAAATCAACCCCGAAAGAAGAATCATCCTCCTCCAAGACAATGCAAGCTCGCACACAGCCCAAAAAACAAGGCAGTATTTTACGAAAGAAAACGTGGAATTATTGGATCATCCTCCATATAGTCCCGATCTAAGTCCTAACGATTTCTTTACTTTCCCGAAAATTAAAAACAGACTGCGTGGTCGAAGGTTCCAGTCACCAGAAGGAGCAGTTGACGCATTCAACAATGCCGTTTTGGATCTGCCAGCAAACGAGTGGAATAAGTGCTTCGAAAATTGGTTCGAGCGCATGCAGATGTGTATTAATCTTGGTGGAGAATACTTTGAAAAACAATAAAGTCATTTAAAATTACCTACGGTGTTGTTTTATTTCCATATGCAAAACTTAAAAGACATACCTCGTATGACAGATCTAATCTCCAATTGAGACATTAGTACAAGTAGATAAAATCGATGATGTGAAATAGATAAATCTACTTACCAGCCCTTAATCCTATTATATCGTTCCTTCAAATGTTTTTTTGTGTACGTGAATGTATATCGTATTACTGATAAATAAAATTTAGATTTTTCTTATTCAACATACTTTTCTGTCTACTCATATTTTATTACTTTCAGTTAATGTACAATATTATATATAATGTATGTTATGTATTTCTTAGCATTAAGTTAACAATTACCACTCACAAGAATTGTAAGATCCTTTCTGTGGTACTTTATTTATTCCAGTATTTTATGTTACATGCTCATGCAGTTGTAATAATGGATACCGAATCAAATATTATTAATTTTATCATGCTCAAAATATATTATAATGTATTGGTAACTTTTTGAGTTTTCTTTATGAATGATGAGATGATATTAATACTGAGCTACGGAACTCATCACTTTCATATATTTTCAGCAAAATACTAACTCAGTTTTTAAAGCTTTTGGTTGATGCTTACCACCCTTATGCTAAAATGTAGTATTCATGAATCAAATCAATCATCCCGAATTTCAGATTTCCACCCTGGCCCGCTCAACAAATAAAGTGAAAAGCACTGTATTTAGTCCACTGGATATTTTGGCTGTTGTGAGTTGTTGAAATAACTGGCATGACGCCAGTATTTTAAGACGATGGTGTCAAGTAGATTGACTTTGTATGTCCCACGCCTTCGAAACAACTTCTAGTAGAATTTTCCATGGAGTGCAATGGTATCAGTAATAGTTCGTCAACAATGTTTGATTGGTACGTAGAATTCAACATAAAAAAATTGACATACACCCTTCTTCACCCTCCTATAGCCCACACCCTCCAGTGGATTTTTGAAAAAAATGGCCAGGACTTTCTGAAACGTCAAAAAAAAAGGTTTGAACCGACTTTGGCAAAGTGTAACCTTATGTGAAAATTTTATTAAAATTAATATTATACATCTTACTATCAAGAAACGCGTAAATCTTTCCCCATTAGTCAAAACCGAATGAAATTCTCAACACAAAGGTGCCACAATCAGCGTTTTGTAGGTTATGAATGCACATAACATGAAAATTCGTTCTAGCATGGTCGAATCCTGCAACTGTATGTTTCGTGAAACGCTCGAAAACGTGGAATTGAACATTTTGTAGAAACAAAGCTACTGTTGAAACAATTACATGTAATATACGCTTATCAAACAGCTAATGTTATTCAAATCAATCCCATTTGCATCAGTTGACGCCACTGGCGCACATTGTTAGATTATTGCCATTATGAACCAGCAACATGTAGCGGAAACAATTTGCCTTCGGATCAATATATTGTATTTAACAAATAGAGGATCGAATTATGCTTTCATTGATAGTTTTAATAATAGATGCTACGATGATATGCCTCCCATTAGATGCTATAATGGAGAATATACACGCTGCGATGAAGATTACAATATCGTCCCAGTAGCCTGTGGACAGGAAGAAGAAAGAAAGAACGGGGCGAAATGGGAGTAGATACAGCGATTGTAGTCAAAAGGGTATTTCGGAAAAACGAACATAGATAATAAGGAAAAACATTTGGATTGGCTGCAACAATTGTCAAAGTTTGTTTGCTTATTTTAACCAGTTAGATACAAATGGTTTGTACACAAGTAAGAATTTCAAAAAATATGATAAACGTACCTACTTCAATATAAACAGAGATAATACACAGGAAAAAATTACAAACCTAATTAGATATGAAAAAAGATTCATTAAGATTAAAGAATGACATACAAAAGCTCTCTCTCTCAGTTCAGTAATTTTTGTCTTATGTAAACTATTCGCAAGAACTGATTTTATGCTAATAGGCAATTTGTTGTAAAACGACATACACTTGAAGATGGGTGAAGTGATGTTTGTAATAAATTGCGATACCTCGTGTTGATTTTATAGCGCGAAGTACAGACCTCAAATTAATCAAAGAGCAACCCAGCGCACATAAGACAGTGTGATATGTAAATGCATGGTGGAGTCAGTACTCGCCCTCTGATAAATGTAGGTTTACAATACTCTCTAGGGGTAAGATTGAACAGTAGTTCGAAATTCGCTTCTGAGAGATGATCACACAGATATAGTGCATGCACTGCTTTTGCCACAGCTCAAAATATTGAGCAACATATCGTCGCCAATAACACGAAGTGGCGTATCTCAGAAAATACGAAAAAGTCGATTTTATTACTTAAAAAAGCTTGCTCTTCAATATCACGAAGTGGCATAAGTCAATTTCTAATACTTTCAGAGTTATAGAAAAATAATATTAGACTTTCATTTTAATAGGAAATTAAATTTCACGAGAGAACTTAACTCCTAAGTTACGCCAATTTGTAAAATTATAAAATATACATATAATTCTACATCGCATGGGTTATCTAAGTTACTCCATTTCGTAAAATTGTAGTCTTTATTTTATCACTGTACGAACTGTCACGTAACTGTCTTTTTAACTTCCCCTTCAGCACGAATACAGCTTTTTCAGATTAAGAAGACAAAAACTTAAGTTAAAAAGTATTCCCCTCAAAGTTCTGAGTGCAGACTCAAGAAAAATTAATACGAAAAAATATATGGATTTGAAGTCGCTGTGTGAAGGAGATATACCGTTAGTTCGTTTACAAGAATATCAAAGATTCTGTTTAATAATAATAATAATAATAATAATAATAATAATAATAATAATAATAATAATAATAATAATAATAATAATAATAATAATAATAATAATAATATATTTCCATTCGACTTGTACAAACAAGTATGGGAAAGTGTCATACATAAATAAACATTACACTGAATGGGTTGAATATACATATAGATATGCATATCTATATATACTAAGTGACATATAAATCCGAACACCCAGTTTAAATGGTTTTATTTTAATAAAATTTTGTATAAGTACTTAATGAAGTATAATAAGTAAATAATAAAAATTTCAAAATGATTGCACTGCTTTAAAGCCCTTTGACCTTTAATAATGTGTGGATGCACCCTGATGTACTACGCATTCTCCAACGCGCCTAGGCATGCTTCTGATCAGGTGGTCAATGTCCTCCTGTGGTATCTCATTCCAGGCAACCACCAACTCCTCTCGAAGTGCTTCTAGAGTCTGAGGAGGACGTTGCAAATTGAGCAATCTCCTACCCATCATATCCCACACGTGCTCAATTGGGGATAAGTCGGGAGATCTTGGTGGCCACGGTAACAATGTGACATCATTATGTTGAAAGAAGTCTATTGTGACTCTTGCAACATGTGGTCGGGCATTATCTTGTTGGAAAGTTGGATCTGGCAGGGTGTCAAGATAGGGTAAAAGATGGGGTTCTAGAACTTCGTGGATATAACGCTGTGCGTTCATGTTACCTCTGATGAAGATTAAAGGTGACCTGGAACCATAAGCTATAGCACTCCATACCATAACTCCAACAGTGTGATGAACATGTCTTTCAACAAAAAACTGTGGATTCCTCCTTTCACCACGTCGCCTTCTAACCCTGGCACGACCATCGTGCATGCCTAAATAAAATCGAGACTCGTCACTAAAGACAATACTGTTCCATTCCTGATCCCAGAGTGACCGTTTTCTGCACCACTCAAGGCGATTACGTCGGTGTTCTCGAGTTAAAGGGAGGACCCAGTGTGGCCGGTATGAAGACAAGCCAAAACTTCTCATTCGTCGGTAAACACTTGGCATGCCAATAGATCTTCCGTGTTCTGCAAACCATTCATTTGCAATGGACCTGGTAGTGGAGAAACGGTCCCTTAAGGCCAATAATCTTAGACGGCGACCTTCACGGTCTGTTGTTCTATGGCGGCGTCCAGTGCCCCTTGCTCTTTGCGTACGGCCTTCTCGTAACCGATCGTAAAGGATGTCAAGAACCAAAATCCGCCAACGTTGATTCTTTACTGCGGCTGAAATATTCATTTTTAGAGCGTTAGTGAATAAAAAAAAAGCAGTATAAAAACCGGAATGTCCAACTGATAAGGCTGAAAATTTTTTCACTTGTTATTTACAGTAAGATAAATACATTCACCAACTTTTATTAAAATAAAACCATTTAAACTGGGTGTTCGGATTTATATGTCACTTAGTATATATACTTCCGCATCTTAAATTTACATAAATAAATCACGTCACATTATTAAAAACATATAGGATATCTAACAATATTAGAGTACATAAACAGCACGACAAGAGCACGATAAAATGTAAATTAAAATTGATGGTTGAGGTACTCGTCAACAGAGTAAAATGGATATAACAACAAATCTCGTACTTTGCGTAGAAGACTGAAATAGATACTATGCCCTTAATCGACACGGGTAAGTGATTAAACAATCTCACAGGCATGACAGAAGCCCCTTTGGAGATAGAGGCAAGCCTGTGAGTAGGTATAACTACATTACGGTTTGTACGGAGGTTATAACCAGAGTTGATAGCCACATCGTTTCTGGAGACATAGCTTTCGTAATTTTCTTTAAAATAAACGACACACTTATAAACATACAAGGAGTATAGTGTCATGATCTTCAGGTAACTGAATAATTCTCTGCATGAATGCTTGGAGTTTTTAAGCAACATGGTTCTGATAATCCTTTTTTGTACTATAAATAATTCACCAACCCTGTTACTACCACCCCAAGCAACAATGCAATAGCTTAGTGTGGAACGGACGTGAGCGAAGTAGTAAAGCTTTAATATTTCAGTACTTACGTGACGTCGAAGCTGCCATATAATGTATGATTGGGTTGACAATCGCTTGATCAAACTCTCAATATGTTTACCAAATGTTAGCTTAGTATCTAAATAAACACCAAGGAATTTTGTGTAGTTGTTCTGTCTTAAGTTATATCCCTCACCATAAG